GTCTGATGCGTTGGGGCAGGGAGTTCCAGAGGATGGGTGACACCCTGGAGAAATCCTGGAGGCGGGCATGGGAGGAGGAGACCAGGGAACTAGAGAGAAGGAGGTCTTGTGAGGAGCGGAGTGTGTGTGTGTGGGGGCATTCTACTACTCTCACTGACCATAATATGGCCTTCCAAAAGTCAAAAAGGACAATGAACTGGACTTTTGTTTAGAAAGTTTGAGGACACCTGACCTAATGCAACCAGATCAGGAAACAATTATTAAATGTATGGCTATATAAAGAATAGGTTGATAGAGAACTGGATCTAAATAAGGGGGTAGGAAAATACATGAGACTACATCAGATTCTAACTAATCATCAAGTGACTTTTCTGCCAAGGTTTTCAAGGGATTAACTCTAAAAATGTTTGTTTTGTTATGCCAACAGAGGAAAAATAAAGTTGCAAGTAAATTGTTTTTGTACCATCTTTTCAGCTCCCATCTATATAGGTGGACCTTGCAACATGTGGCCTTAAAGTCTACTGCATGGTCTTCACAGTGGTCTCCATCCTAATGACATAGCAATGACTTTTTAAGGACCCTAATACAATACTGATGGTGGACCTTGAAAAACATAGCAATGTAACATAACTTATACATTTTAATATTCTTCAATTATTATTATTATTATACAGGATTTATACAGCGCCAACAATTTGCACAGCGCTTTACAATATAAGGGAGAAAGTACAATTACAATACATTTCAGTACAGAAGGAATAGGAGAGTCCTGCTCGTGGAGCTTACAATCTAAAGGAAGGGGGAGGTGATACAAAAGGTGATAGCTGCGGGGGAAAATCTGGTGGAGGTGTTTCAAGTACAGTTCTTAGGTGGAGGTGAGGTAGGCTTCCCTGAAGAAGTGAGTTTTCAAAGATCACCTAAAGGCAGACAGCGTGGGGGCTGACCGGACATACTGAGGTAGGGAGTTCCAGAGAATGGGAGAGGCTCTGGAGAAGTCCTGGAGGCGAGAGCGGGAGGAGGTGATGAGGGAGCTAGAGAGGAAGAAGATATCTTGGGAGGAGCAGAGTGGGCGATATAGCTAGGGGCAGTGTTGTGGATGGCTTTGTAAGCTGTGGTTAGTATTTCAAATTATATACGTTGGGTTAGTGGAAGTCAGTGGAGGGATTGGCAGAGAGGGGCAGCAGTCGCTGATCGGTTGGTGAGGTGTATGAGTCTAGCAGCAGCATTCATAATAGACTGAAGGGGGGATAGCCTGTGTAACGGTAGACCAGAGAGCAGGGAGTTGCAGTAATCGAGGCGGGATATAACCAAGGCGTGGATGAGTTGTTTTTGATGTCATTGCAATGTAGCCAAAGCACCTGCTGATGACACGTTATGGTCCAGGCCTAAACACTATATGGCCAAAGTTATGATGACATCTCTCCAAATGACTGAGTTCTGGTATTTCCATTGAAGGGTACTGTTATTGCTATAGCATGCAAAGACATTTTAGTCAATTGTGCACTTCCATCCTTGCGGCAACAGTTTGGAGAAGGGGCTTTTTTGAGCCAGTAAAACTGTGCCCTTTGAAAAAAAAAAAGCCAGCTCCATAAGGAGCCCTGACCTCAATTGCACTGAACATCTTTGGGATGAAATGGAATGCAAACAAATTAGCAATCTTCTCATGAAACATCAGTAAACTGATCACATAAATGCACTTTTGAGGAGTGAAGGCTATTTAGCCACAAGTGAAGCACCTTACCATCTTGCCTATTGTTTTAGAATGGGATTTCCCACAGGCTTATATAATGTACAGTAAGTACGATGGTCAGTTGTCATTTAGGCCATATAATGGAGTCCTCCTGGCCTGGAGATCTGTTCATAGTAACCCTGCAATTTCTGTATCAGCCAATATGAACGATGGGCAGGAATTTACATTTTATCTTCACCTTTGTTCAGGGTCCAGGAATGGGCCTTGCCCCCTATCCAGTTCTTTAAAAAGTTAAAAACCAAAAAAGTTCAAGTCAAATCCCCTGCTATGAGAATAGCAGGTGGGCCAAGACTGAACTCAGATATTGAGACATTTCCACCAAAGCCCCCAGGAGATGTGAGAAACCAATAGGTCATCAGGTTTTGCCAGCATCTACAAACCCATAATAACAGTTTTGGGTGGATTGACTCCTAAGCAGTAAAAATAATAAAAACAAACTCTCCAACTTTTTCACCTTTGTCCTAAACTAACCTGGACCATTTTCCAAAGGAATCAAAATGAAGACATTGCTTTAATTGGATTGACCTATGTGCTAATTTCTTATTTCCCTGAGCCAAGGCCTCTGTTTGGCTTTGGAGCTAAGCCATTAAATGTCTGTCATTCTTCAGCCTATAATCAATCATCAGACTTAATTCCTAATCCTTTGCCATTGAAGGTTAGAATCCTTTTTCTTTCTAGCAGAAGGTATAATTATAGACAGCATAGCTTGGCTTTATGTGCAGCAACTTGCGCTTAGCTAGCATTGTTCATCAGAGTCAGATCTGGATATGTCTTTCAGTAGCTTAAAGCCTCTTTTTCACTTTGTGTACATAATTGTAACAGATGTGAAGTCATTTGCAGTTTGGCGAAGAAAAACTCAGATAAGAGCGATCACAGTGTGCATAGATGAAAACGTTGAGTCTTAAAGTGTTACTAAACCCACAACAGTAAATTCAGTCTGTAGATGCAGTAAAGCATGCTTGTTATACTCACTGTGGAACCTAAGGGGTTAATCCTCTGCATTGTGTAAAAAAGATGTTTGATCTTGTCTTCTCTGATTCTCCCCTTTTTCCACATTCCCAATTTCATCTCATCATAGGACAGAGCCTCAGGGACACTCTGCGCATGCTCAGTTTGGTGTGCACTGTTAGAGAGTTTTTTCTTGGGAGGGTGCATGTGATCAGCAGAGGGCCAATCAGTGCTGTCCAGACAGACGGTCAGGGGTTATGCAATCTCATAGAGCAGTTAGAGGAGAATGAAAACTCCTCCTACAAGCTTTAACCAGTTTATAGCTGGACACCGATAGAAGTCACAAGACAGCTCTAACTGCTGATGTGAAAAGGTATTTTGCACTTTATATTTTCTAAAATAATTGCATTTTCATGTTCTGTGTAGTGTGGGAGACCAGATATAGTGAATAAAGGGTCCTGGGTTTAGTAACACTTTAAGACCTACACTGTCACTACACTGGGCCACGTTTAACATACAACCCTTAGCTGTCAACTTGAAGAGATCCTCCTTGGCACTTTACTGGTAAACTGGTAGACAGGTAAGTCTAGGATCACAGTCTCACCAAAATCAGTTGGTCATCAAGTACCTGAAATTAGGTTTTTCCCCCACACAGCCACGTCATCCATTCACAGATCTATCCACATGGATCTGTGAATGGAAAGACTAAAATTTCCATCTGCCACCGTAGCAGAAGGACTCACAAATCTCAATACAATACAAGTGCAGTGATGTCATTGCACTTGTAGTTCATTGATTACTTTCTCCAGTCCAATAATGGTAGGTCCAATATGGGGGTGAACCTATAGCTTGGATGTAAGCAATGCGAGAGCCTGTGCATTGCACTTGTGACATACTGGTAGTGGTTTCAATACTCTGCAGGCTTCAATGCAAAATTATATAAATACACATTTTTTTTCTTTAATGAAAGTGGGTCCATTTAATAAAAAGTTGCAAAAGGTAGATTTTAATAATACCCTCCCCAGCAGCATATGGTTTTCTTTCCTTTGCACCTCCTCTGTAGGTACTGAGAGCAAGGGAGCATGTGCTTCATTGCATGCAACAGAGCTGGTGCTTGGCAACTGACCTATAGAGACAGGGAGAGTCCTCTTTTAAAGTAAAGCTGTCAGAATGGAAAATCAGTAAGTTATCAAACATTTAAAAGCAAGAACCTAAAGGGTACTTGCACACTTCTTTCTCTTGTCCTCAAACTTTCTAAACAAAAGTCCAGTTCATTGTCCTTTTCGACTTTTGGAAGGCCATATTATGGTCAGTGAGAGTAGTAGAATGCCCCACACGCACACTCTGCTCCTCACAAGACCTCCTTCTCTCTAGTTCCCTGGTCTCCTCCTCCCTCCCATGCCCGCCTCCAGGATTTCTCCAGGGTGTCACCCATCCTCTGGAACTCCCTTCCCCAACGCATCAGACTATCACCTACTCTCCTCTCCTTTAGGCGTACCCTGAAAACCCACCTCTTCAGGGAAGCCTACCCCACCCCCTGCTAACTTGCTGACCTCCTCCACACTTCCTACTACTCCATCCCCCACAGCTTTCTCCTCCTGTGCCACCATCCCCTCCCTCCTAGATTGTAAGCTCGAAAGAGCAGGGTCCTCAATCCCCTCATGTTTTGCATTGTATTGGTATTGTTCTGTCACATGTTCTGTCCCCCTTTGTAATGTACAGCGCTGAGCAAACTATTGGCGCTTTATAAATACTGTATAATAATAATCCAATCACAAAATCTCATATTATACTTATCATTTTAATGCAATTTCACAAGTCATTCTCACACAGCTTTCGTGAAAAAAATAACCTTGTAATCTATCTAAGGTTCCTATTAAAGTATGTAGGCAGGTGTGTTTTTTTTTCTACATTATAGGTGGCGCTCAATTGAGTGGCACCACAGCCTGAAGAAGCAGTCCAAGGAAAACACCCTTACTCTAGGGTTTCCTGGGTCAGTGCATTCCCCCGGCCCTCAGATTTTGAAGCACTTTGTGCATGTGGCTAGTCTAGGGAGAAAGTCCCTGCTGGCTAGGGAAAGCTACTAGCAGTAGGGAAAGGTTCCTGTAGAGGAGGGAAAGATTAGGCGCACACTATCCTGAATATCATCTCCCTCTTTGGCCCAGATCAGCTAGGCTGCGCATCACCCTCTAAAACAGACGCTGTCGGCACCTCTCCTCCTCCACATCTGAGTACAATGAACTGTGAGTTGTTTCCCTAGCAGTGCACTCCCTGCAGGGTGTTTGTAACAGTGGCATTCTGCGTAGCCTCCCTGGCGGTATTCCCGAGAGTGTAGCTCGGGGTAAAGTTTCAGTACCACAAGCGGTAACCCCGAGCTACACTTGGGCTTATTATGCGGCGCTGCTCCGGGATCTGTTCTTCTCTTACCTTGTCCTGCGCTCCCGCGATGTCCCTCCTGCAGTGTCTCCTGTAATGTCCTCCGGCGGATGCCGGCATCTGTTTTCTGGGTTCCGTCCCCTGCGACGTCGGGACGTACAGGGGACGGAACGGTGGGAAATTCGAAAATGACAAAAAGTGACATTCACTAAATACACTAAAATCACATAGTAAAACATTACTGTATCAAACCATTTCACATACATTTTGTCCCGAGTGCTTTGTCCTGCGCCCTGCCTGCATTTTTACTGTTCCTTCTGCCGGGAAACTGAGAAACGTCCATGACGTCCAAAAAGCGTCCCTTTAGGTCAAAATCAGTTTTAGACCAGCTAGAGAACAGCGATAGTAAATAAGAACTACTTGCAGAATTGAGTGATATTGATTCGTGGGGAGGGAATTTGTCATCAGATACTGAAAACTATCTTGCGACTTTGCTCAGTGATGTGCGAACGTGGCGCTATATTTCAAATTTCAGTGTTTTTGGTTTGATTATAATATTGAATTAAATTTATTATTATATTATTATTTTTTTTATGATTATTTATTATATTATAATTTATGATTTCGTGTTTCAAATTTTAACATACCCGGGATGTTTACTAGACTCTTTTTCGGACAGATTTCAATGAGTTAATCCTAAAAATTACAGACCTACAATAAAAAAAAATACATATTTCCATGCAAAAAAATGTACCGCTTTGAGCACAGAAATATGGACATAATCAGACCGCTAGGGAGGTTAATACAAGTTCCAAATTTTGCTGCAACTGTGCTTTACTACCCACACCACGTTGCACCTCCCCACAAGCACTTTCTATCAAACTGTGACAATGCACTGTCCCTGTGTACCAATTTCTCCCCAAGCGCTCACCCTGTCAAATGTACATCAGGTGGAAATTATTAGAGGCTTTGCCAATGCTCAAAGCACAGGTATATCACTATCAGGAAGTCAGCACTGAGCAATTGCATACAGTCAACATTGGAATATGTTTAGGTAGACAGCCAGTAGGCTGCCGTGCTAAAATAAAAAATGAAAAGAGAGGAGCACCCCATGATTCAGAAGTGGTTTGAGGGTGGGAGGTTGGGCAAATATGACCAGGTTTTATGTTACACCCCATATATCGGTGTAACTTTAAACACTGTCCCAAAGGTGGCCTAAGCCTTTAAGGTGAACCCTTTGCTTTGCCCTGTATTGACAAAGCACAGGTTTGTTCGGGAGCAAACTTGCAAGCATAAAATACCTAAAAAAATAGATTTTTCCCTTGTATAGTGGGCACTCCTTGTCATTTTATAAAGCTCCTTTCAGCCCCAAAACCCAGGGGCACCATAATATGCAATCACTGACCAAGCTTCTATGGTTGTGGACTTTGTGGTCAATAGTGCCACCAATCACAGAGATAGACCAGGTGATAGAGGTGGCCCCAAACCCACAACTATTATAGCCTGATCACTATTGTCAGAAAAGAGCTTTCCAAATTGTGGGGTTTCATATGTGCCCTAGACAACAGTGTGGTGACATGCAGGCCTCTAGAAATGGCTGCTACCTATGAAATATAAGCACCACTATTTTGTGCTCATAGGTCCTAAGTGGGCAGCCCAGCAGTGAATCTTGCCAAATATAAGCTTCATAGAGCAAAACTGGGACAGTGTCCAGAACCGTTGATGTTAACCTTTAGTAGCTGTAATTGATGCCTAAATTTCGTCACCTTTCATGATAACAGAAGAACTATTCATTTGTAAGAAGCCAAGCTGTGCAGTCTTTGCCGCTGTCCCAAATAGAACCTGCTTGTTATTACAGCTTCAGAGTGATTAAAAGCACAATAAGAGACATCTCAAGCATTCTGCAGGTAGGGGAAAGTTAATGCTCAACTCCTGGCAAACAGTTGAAATATGCACATGTGAACTGTCTTATCAGCCAAAGGATTATGCAACAAAAAACACCTCCAACCTTCAAAGGACTGTAGCCCTGAAATGGCCCAGTTATGGCCTAGTAATCAAGCAATTCTTGATTATTTGCAAAGTCTGTAGAATTCCTGGCAAATACGGCACTGACTTTGACCACTCTAAACCAAACCATTTTAAACAGTTATCCAAAGACCCACAACTCTATGTAACTTTCTCCTATAAAAAGAGTTTCTCACTTCTAAAAGCTGGCCATGTATTGTCATAGTTTGGCCATTTCCTGCTAAACTTGCTGAAATTCAATCCATGGGTGGCTTTGCCATCAGCATCCCATTTGACAAAATTCAACTCAAGGATCAAAGGAGCTGAGCAGAAAATTGTATACTGAAGAGTAAATGCAGTCATTGAGCTACAGCCACTGTTTAGTTATTCCAAGAGACGCGGGCGCAGGCAGGGGAGATTCGCTCTTTAGCATGGATTGAAGGATCAGTTAGATTTCTTTTGTTCAGCCTGCAGGCTGAATGAAATAAATGTATGCATGCATGGCCAGCTTTAGTCACAAGTGGCAGCATGAATATAACAAATTAATATCATTTTTAGATTGTTTCCAGTGCTCATTTGTATTACATGTAATGTGTTCACTTTAATGCTAAAAATAACGGCAGTTTTCCTTTTACCTGCAGCTAGGAATGATGTCTTGAAAATGATTACAGGACTATTACAGCTGTAGACTGAAAATAGTTTTGAAAACATTCCAAAAAACTCCAAGCCAGTGAAACAGAAAAAGCTTTGTACATAGGAGCACAATGATGATCTTTCATCTTATATGACATGACATGCCGTGCTGTACTTCCTTCGAAGAGTTTATACAGCCTGGATGTGCCTATAAAATGGAAATGAGCAAAGCTAAGATAAGATTCAAGATTACAGCAGCTGGTTCCACCCTCCCTTCGTATACAAATCATTATCTGCCGTGCTGCCTGTAGGGATACTCTGGCGTTTTTAGGAACAGCAAGGCGAAAAAGAAAAAAAATGAGGTGCTGCCAATGTAAAGAGGTCCCCATAAAGGAGAACATTATGGGATTGATTTACTTAAAATGGAGAGTGCAAAATCTGGTGCAGCTGCGAGTGGTAGCCAATCAGCTTCTAACTTCAATTGGAAAAAAATTGGAAAAAAATGAAAAGTGCAGCACTATAGAAAAAAACAGATAAATTGTCTTTTAAAATGACAAACAATAAATGTCCAATATAATCATATCAAGTTAAATGAGTAGTCCAGAAAGCAACTTCAGACAGCTCTGATGTCATCCAATATCCCAATACGAAAGGAATAGATAGATTGCCCACTTACCAGAAGCGCAATCTTAGAGTGCATATAATGATCATGTGTAGCCAAGGTCCTGTATGGATACTGCCTGGAGATACACTGATGACTCAGTACAGATCAAAGAATGGCCGCCGGACCTCCTGATCCGGCGGCGTGACGTCAAGGCGTGCGTAGGCTCCTCCTAGACGCGTTTCGTGTCAATACACGTCTGCAGTAAGGGTGAGGCCTACGCACGCCTTGACGTCACGCCACCGGATCAGGAGGTCCGGCGGCCATTGTTTTATCTGTACTGGTTAGTGCTTTAGGTGTTTTTACTGCCAATTTCATGCATCTGCAGGCTACAGGCACACTAATGTATATGTTTTATCTCTGCATAGTGGTTTTAATAAATTTGTATTGAGTAATACTACACTATGAGCACTTCTATTTTTTACACCTGGCACTGAGCCTTCATACCTCAGCCCCAGCATTTCAGGCATCTGTGTGTGGATTTGAGGAGCTATGTGATCTGACCAGTCCGGTACCCCCATACCAGTGAGGAGTCATCAGTGTATCTCCAGGCAGTATCCATACAGGACCTTGGCTACACATGATCATTATATGCGCTCTAAGATTGCGCTTCTGGTAAGTGGGCAATCTATTCCTTTCGTATTGGGATATTGGATGACATCAGAGCTGTCTGAAGTTGCTTTCTGGACTACTCATTTAACTTGATATGATTATATCGGACATTTATTGTTTATCATATTAAAAGGACAATTTATCTGTTTTTTTCTATAGCGCTGCACTTTTCATTTTTTTCCAATTTATACATAAAGGTCTTGTGGTTCCTTTTAGTGCAATTAACTGCTTATGAAAGTGCGCTCACTAATCTGCCTATATACAGCTTCTAACTTCAGCTAGTTCTATTAAGCTTTGACAAAAAAAAATGGAAGCTGATTGATTTCTGTGCAGAGCTGCACCAGATTTTGCACTCTCCAGTTTTAGTCAATCAACTCCACTGTGCAGCAGTTTGCTCCTTCTGTTTGCCCTTTGAATCTTTCCAAGACTCTTCTCTTTCAAATGTCTGCTGTTGAGGGTCTTCCTTCATTTCAGCATGTCTCATGCTGCTGTTACCTTCTCACTGTTTGTTTAGAGGACAGAGAAAGAGCTCAAAGAACGTATTATTTCCTTACACTATTTAGTTTTCTCTGTGACAAAAACTGTGCTATGTCGACTGGCCGCTCAATATCCATTCAGGGCAGAGCCACCCATAGCCAGACACACAATTGACTGCAGGCCAATGCTGCAACTGAAAACAGGTTTTAAACATCAGTACAGCAACATCTGGATTAGATTAAAAACCATAAATGCCAAGCACACATACAATATATGGCTAGATATTGGTGGACACCTGACCATCACACCTACATGAGCTTGGTGGACATACCATTCCAAAACCATGGCCATTATTATAACATATATAACTACCTCTGCAGCTATAACAGCCTCCACTGTTCTGAGAGGGCTTTCTACAAGATTTTGAGTGTGCCTGTGGAAATGTGTGTCCAAATTGCATTTGTGAGGTAAGGTACGGATGTTGGATGAGAAGACCTGTATTTGGTGTTCTAGTTTCAATAGGGCTGAGGTCAGGGTTCTGTGCAGGCCGCTTGACACCAGTGGTCTCCAAGCTGCAGCCCATTTGCTGTCCTTTATCTGGCCTTTGGGGCACAATTCCTCCCAAAGATACAAGGCACCATTTCTTCCATTGGCACGATGATGAGGCTCCATTCCTTTGGCCACGGTCTGGCCAACCTAAAATCTGAATGACAGTAAACTGTCCCTTTGTTGGAATGTTTGGAGACCCCTGCTCCACACCAGACCCATCGGGGTTTATTTACTAAAGCTGGAGAGTCCAAAATCAGACTCCCTTCTGCATAGAAACTAATCAGCTTCCAGGTTTCATTGCCAAAGCTTCATTGAACAAGCTGAGGTTAG